TAGAAACCGGTTTTCGATACCCGTGGTGGGCAGAGCACAGATTGCCCATTGTGAAAATTTGTGTTTAATTACAAACAAACAAACACTTTTCCTCCACTTACACCCTTCTGACGTCTGTGATTCACGTTAAATAATCCTCTTATATCACTAGTTATTTTTTCAAAAGTTGTATACCCCCGCTCCTGTTGCTACACATGTCCGATTTTAAAATTCAACATCCTGAGATTCTTGTCGCCCGGGTGCCCGGCATGGCCAGGTGGATAAGGCGCTCGACTTACAATCTGAGGGTCGCGGGTTCGAATCCGCATCCCACCAAACATGCTCGCCCTTTCAGCCGTGGGGGCGTTATAATGTGACGGTCAATCCCACTATTCGTTGTTAAAAGAGTAGCCCAAGAGTTGTCGGTGGGTGGTGATGACTAGCTGCCTTCCCTCTACTCTTACACTGCTAAATTAGGGACGGCTAGCGCAGATAGCCCTCGTGTAGCTTTGCGCGAAATTCCAAAACAAACAAACAAACAATCTTGTCGCCCGGTGGGACAGCGGTAAGTTACAGATTTACAACGCTAAAACCGGGGGGTTCGATTCTCCGCGGTGAACGCAACAGGTAGCCCAAAATGTCTTTGCTCTAAATCAAACCCTCTCTTCCAGTGTCATCTGTCAACAGTATTAGTGTACAGATTTTTGATCATCTAGAATACTAAAGTTTTTTTTTTGTTTGTTTTTTTTGTAATCAGTTTTCGATTGATTAATATAGAACACCTTTTATATACGAAGTTTGAAACTGTTTTAAATAATACACTGATTACGGATCGTATATTCATTGATTACAGCTTTTAATTAAGAACTTTGTAGATTTTATTAGGGGACTATTGTCGTGTATCAGCTAGCTACACACACACACACACAGGCGGCGAAACTTGGGGCACCGTATTCGCTACGTTAACCGTGACCATTAAAATCAAAATTCAAACAGCGACACAAGTTTCTATTCCCCATTCAAAGGGGCACTTCGCTATCGGGGGTACGGACCCCCCCCCCCGATTCCTCTGGATAACAACAACCCCGCCCATCTATCTGTCTAGTTACACGTCTTTATGTATCTGACAATGTCTTAGTCTATCCGTCTTTCTAACAATGTCTTAGTCTATCCGTCTTTCTAACAATGTCTTAGTCTATCCGTCTTTCTAACAATGTCTTAGTCTATCCGTCTTTCTAACAATGTCTTAGTCTATCCGTCTTTCTAACAATGTTTTAGTCTATCCGTCTTTCTGACAATGTCTTAGTCTATCCGTCTTTCTAACAATGTTTTAGTCTATCCGTCTTTCTGACAATGTCTTAGTCTATCCGTCTTTCTAACAATTTTCATCTATTCATTCTTATTTGTCTGTCTTTCCTGTCTTGTTTATTTATTAATAACACTATGTGATTGTAGTAAAGTACGTAAAAACTATTTTGATCTATTTGCTTTATTTTATAATTTAAAATATACATATACAGAAAAATCTCATTAAAAAATCAAATTTTTGTCTTAATTGTTCTAAAAAACCTGTTGTTGTTTTTATGTTAAAAACCAGCGAATTAGTTTTAAAAACTGGCTAATTTCGATTCTTTGTACTAGTTTTTTGTTGTTATTATTCTAAAAACTAGCTAAGTTTTTGTTTCTCTTGACATAGTATTGGCTTTTTTTTTCTTTTGTTTTACAAACTGATGAATTTTTATTTTATTCTACCCCCTAATTATTATTAATAAGCCAGAAGCCGTGAAATGTAAGAATTAAACTCAATTAAGGCTAATCTTTAAGTGTTTTATATGTGCTGGAAAAACGTAACAAAAATATATGACGCAAAATAAAATATGAAGACCAACATATTTTTAGAAAATTAACTTAATTTTAAGTTAAAATTTCGGTATTGTATTTTTTTTTTTTACATGTTACTTAGACTGCTCAAGGAAATACGTGTTTTGGCCGGTGCTAACGTGTAACCATAACAATAGCCGTTTTCAGTATTATTACCGTTTTTAAAACCAACAATGATTGCGTACACGGTTTTTACAGAAGTATTGTTATCGATACAGAATGTTTGAGTACCAACAGAACAGCGGTCAACATATAGCAGCTACAATGTGAGTAAATAATACCCAACTCAGAAAAAACTCAAAAATAGTCCTAGCTTCACTAAATTTGCAAATGTAAAAAAGAGGATTGAAGTCGAATCCATTTCTTCATAAGAAAACCCAGTATGTATTCTGTGCTCTGGTCGTGCAGTTAAAACAACAGAAGAGATATTGTTTGTCAGGAAATTTAACTACACCGAGAAGGATTTAACGGAGCATATATCTTTTATCATCATACGCTGTTCAGTGCATTTTTGATACAAAAAAAAATTACATAGTTGTCGTATTAACCCTAAAATTGAAAGTCTGTTTATTAAAACTTCATGATCTTAGAACGAATTTTTTACAATGATATGTAAAACATTATATATATATATATACATAAACCTTTTAAAGGTTACTGTTACGAATCAGAGATTCTAATTTATGATTAAGATCTAATTTATGAGGTATTGCACTGGAACTTCCTTCGGTGTTAAGAAAAGTTTAATTCTTTGCAAGGCCCTTGTTTTTTTGTTCTTGTATTGCAGCCTGAACTCATTAAGAAACGAGACAAGTTGATTACAGAATATTTACAGAAAGGATGGAAAACCAAGTCATAAATAAACGTAGGCTCGTTACACCGCTATCATTTTGGACAACCGTTAGCTCTAGTGTCCCTCTCAGTCACCAGGGAAATCCATGCATTTTACTTAAAAGCAATTTCATACGTCTTAATTAACCCGTTTGCTAGTCTCGAGCGTACGTTATGTTACCTTATAAGCACTTATTTGTATCTGTATCTCAGGTTTGTCTCCCGTTTTCTTTGCTAGAACCCTATCACGATTCTCCTTCTTCAGCAATAGTGTCCTCTCGGAAACTGAGATCAAGGGGTCTGCCTGGGGTGCACTGGGTATATGCCCCTGCGTTAAGACGACGAAGACTTATAGATAACTTCTGTTTTAAAGTCTGATTTTTACTGTAACCTTGTTCTTCTGAACATTCAGTTTCTGGAACGATATGGTACTTATATTCGTCTCCAAAGTCGACGTTGCCTTTGTACGAGTATAATTCTGTTGGAAGAGACCCGTGTGTTGAATCACTCCCATTTATAGAAGTCCAATGTTTGTCTCTTCGTTTCTTCTTCGTCTTATGTTTATGGTGATGTCTACCTTGGAGCGATTCATGGTTAGACCCACTGTTTTCGAGAACCGAGGTAGATTTAGGAAATTGTTCTTTTCTCGCTCTTTTCTGCGCTCTCCTAGCGGCCTTGTCGTCACGTGACGAAACCTCTTGATAACTGATACAGACAGGATTATCCTTTTTGTGGATTTCTTGTGAACACTGGTCATCTGGGTCATCGGTACGAACTGGTATCGACTCTGAGGATAGCCTCGCCGGAATTTTTACCACTGTATCTTGCCCTTGTGGGTTAGCAAATGATATTTTAATAACAGGACTTGTCCTTGGAGCGGTTAATGTTGTCATATAATTTTTAGAGATCCCGCCCTTGTTTTGATTGAAAAAAGAATTGCTAATATTATCTTGAGCATCTGCTGACTTAGGCCTAACTTGATCTACCTGCTGGGTGGTTTTAGATGTACCATTTGTTTCCGCTTTTACCACCTCTAGAAAATCCTCAGTGGATCTCCTTTTACGTAATTCTGTGCACCTAAATTGGGTTACGTCTTGAGAAGAACGTCTTTTTGGGGGCACCGATTTACATTCGGGGGCATTTTGAACTTCTGGAGGTTCACCATTCTTAGAACCAGTGAGGAATTTCAACAAGTTTTCTTTGTTTGTAGGCCTACCTGACTTAGAATATTGTGATTCAGCACGATATCGACCCGTGCGCGTTGACAATCGTCCTCTACCAACACTATACCCCATGGGGTTTTGGGGTAGCCCGTAAGGACGGCTAAGGTCAGTGTGAAGGGCAGATGCTTTTTTATTATTACATTTATGTGTAGTAGGACTAGGTAATATGCTTGTTTCTATTCTCGCCTTGACAGATTCTGATTCATCTGTTTTAAAACTTTGAAGCTCTTTAGCCTTATCCGCATTTTCATTGCACATAGAAAAACAACGAGAACACAAAACCGGTCTTGGCCGAAGTCGTCTCATGCGGACATGCTGTTGTCGCTCCCGGCTATTCCTTCCCTGAGGCCGCCGCCGCGACGGAAAAGAATCCTGGGTCGTTGAAAAATTTACGGCGTCCTTCTTTCCACCTGGGTCAAAATAAGTGTGTCTTTGTTTTAATGAGTAGAATGCTTCTTCGGATTTTTCGTTGGTACGGGTTGTTGAGTCCAACATCTCTTGAAACTTAAGGGAAGAAATACCTGGCGGGCCGTTCCTAAAGAATTCAAGACAGAAGCTAAGACTTAATCAATAACAAACGTTAAAAATATCATCAACACACACACACCCTTTTTTTGGAATCTGACTTCCATTAAAATTTCACTATTAACTAAGTGTCTACAAAAGAATGCATAAGTTAAAAGGTTCTTTTTTACAAGTTTTTTGTAAATAATTTGTATACACACTTTTGTAGCATTTTGTAGAAAAAAATGTGGACTACTTTTCTTATTGATCTTGAGACTTTAAAAAATTAAAACTCAAGAAGATAACATTCAGTGATTCGTGAATTGTAACCCTTACGTGTCTACGAGTAAACTGTTTCCAATGGCTAGTATTGACACGTGAGGAATACGGTGAAAACATTATTTTTTTATTATTTATTCAAATGTATGAACAAAACGTTCAGAATTGTTGTTGAGAACTAATCAGTATTCTGCATTTCAAAATCAAGACATTCAACAATGCTTCATTATAAGTTATATATATACTACACACGTTGTAGGGGGTGGATTTTCTTAGCAGATTTAATTTATTGACATTTTATTTAGTTAACTGGGAAATTTGAATAATTTAACAATGCAGTATTAAATATATAAAAGTACGTCAAATTTAGGCACGAGGCTTGTGAAAAGGTCACACTTAACCATTGTTGGATATAATTAAACAAAAAAAAACCTGATATACAGCTATTGTCCAAGCTATATAGACGTGTAATAAAAAGGGCATACTTAACCAGGGTTAAGTTTAATCAAATACAATATCTATAACATTGCTATTGTACAAGTTGTATACAGGAGAAGGTTTTGTAGAAAGGTCATATTTAACCAAGGTTAAGCCTAACTAAACATAAAACCTGCTATATTGCTAGTTTACAAGCTATATAGATGAGAAGATATTGAAGAAGTGTCATATTTAATCAGGGTTACGGTTATTTAAACACAAAACCTGAAACACTACTATCGTATAAGTTATATAGATGAGAAAGTATGGAAGAAAGGTTATACTTAATCAGGTTTAGGGCTAATTAAACAAAAACCCTGAAACTACTATTTTACAAGATAGGTGAGAAGATTTGACAAAGAGGTCATACTTAACCAAGGTTAAGCCTAATTAAATGTACACGTTACTGTTTTACAAGTTATATATATGGTAAAATATTGCAGAAAGGTCATATACTTAACCAGGGTTAGGGCTAATTAAATGTACACGTTACTGTTTTACAAGTTATATATATGGTAAAATATTGCAGAAAGGTCATATACTTAACCAGGGTTAGGGCTAATTAAGCAAAAAACTTGACACACTACTACTGTATAAGTTATATAGATGAGAATATATTGGAGAAAGGTTATACTTAATCAGATATAGGGCTAATCAAACACAAACCCTGAAACACTACTATTTTATAAGATGTATAGATGAGAATGTTATGCAAGAATGCCGTACTTAACCAAGGTTAGTGCTAATTAAACACAATATTTGATACACATCGCTTGTACAAGCTACATATATATGACGAAGTTCTGAAAAAGGGCTAATCAGAAACAAAACCTGAAACACTGAAAGGACTAACTTATTTTCATGTAGTATATGCATGCTTATTTGAAAAGCTACTGTAATAAAAATAAAATAACTCACTAAATGGGGATCCAATCTGAAAAAGCTTCTGGCGAATTTAAGCAAACTGTACAAAAAACAGATTACTTTACAATCTGTTGTAATGAACCTTTGGAGAAAGGTTACACTTGTTACGCCTAATTAAACACAAATAAGTAGAGAACCTCAGTGAAAGGGGTGAAAATGAAAACAGATTACTTGGCACATTATAATACTGGACCTTTGGAGAAAAGTTACACTTGTTAGGCCTAATTAAATATAAATCAGTAATGAACCTTTGGAGAAAGGTTACACTTGTTAGGCCTAATTAAATACAAATCAGTAATAAACCTTTCTCCAAAGGTTACATTTGTTAGGCCTAATTAAATACAAATCAGTAATGAACCTTTGGAGAAAGGTTACATTTGTTAGGCCTAATTAAACAAAAATCAGTAATGAAACCATTATGTTTACGGATCTCTTATGTTGAGATATAAATGATAAAGAAATACGTTTCTAAAAGTTGAAAAAATCAAATCTTGACTTACAAAATTGTCTGTTTTGTCCATTATAAGAAAAAACTGAAACCAGAATCAGACATTTCTTCATTTTTATTATTAATATATTTTATAGACAACAATTTGTATAGAATGTGAATGTAAAGGATGGTCCCCCACGTTCTTTGTAAGACGGTTCCAACAGCTTAACTTAAGTCTCTTTATAAATTTTAGGTTTATTTTCAGTGTATGGAGAAAGCCGTGTTACTTCCGCCGTAAAGAGCCTTGTATAATGTGAGTAAAAAAAGAAAGAGTTCTGAACTTTGAATTATTTTCCACATATATATTTATAGCACCACATTTAGATAATAATGAAAACACCTAACGCAACGAGGTTTCCATAGAAACATACAGACTACTTTGATAAACTCACGAAACTGTATCCCGTAATACAGTGAAAGCCCAGTAGAAGCAAATGTTATTCCCTGGCATAAAGCGAATAGGATGTGTGGGTAAAAACCGGACGAATTTTTAGAATACTGAAAAATGATTGTTTGATTTTTAAATTAGACGAAGCTATATTTCCATACAATAATTTGTATTCTGTAGCACATAGCACAAGTTATGATAAAATTAAACTTTTTTTCTATCTGTTATTTTCTGGTTGATTCAACTCAAAGAAGAACTTGGGTGTTTCTATACAGCTCAGCTCCAGTGTAACGGCTTTATGTTTAGAAAAAATTTAAACAGATGTGTTATTTGTAATTGTGCACAAAGCTACACAATGGGCTATCTGGGCTCTGCCCACCACGGGTATCAAAACCCGGTTTCTAGCGTTGTCCGCAGACATACTGCTGTGCCACTGGGGGGCCAGATGTGTTAAAAACAGTGTTTATATATATATTGTTTATAATTATTATTATTTGTGAGTGTTCATGTAATCTTTATCCCCTTGTAAGAGAATCTCATATTAACAAGATGGATAAGAAGCTTTATTATGATTTTAAACTTCGGTTATCCATATATGATGGACAGGAGTTTTGATAACATTTATACATTTTGTAATTAAAACAGCCTCATCTGTGTAAGCTAGCCAAATATATACACAAGTTTTAATGATAGCTTTACGGTTAAAGAATCGGAAAATATAGTACTTTTAAAAAATTGATGTTTGTATAGATGTTATATTGCAAACATTCTGTCTGATGAAATAGTTGCTAAATACAATTTTGAAAAATAAAAGTGAAAAAAAAATCAGTACAGATAGCGCCCTTCTAGTGAAGATGAGTTTAAAAGTGATTATTTACGACCCTGGTACATATAACTGTTCACTTAGTCAGATGTAAGTTTAAGATCCTTACGAGCACAGCAATTCAGTAAGATCTTACAATAATACATTGTTAATTATTTCCTTCCTCGTAATTATGGTCGGCGATACATCCCTGAAACATGATTAATTATATTAATACAAACTGAAGACATCTAAAATATGGGAGAGGTTCTTGAATCCGCTGGGAAAATTACTCACTTCTTGGAGACTTCAAGTAATAATCCCTGAAATTCTCTGGTTTCGAAGTGATAGGTTACAACCAATAGATCAATCAGGGCCTCTTCTACAAGAACGTTGATTTTTGAACCTTTCAGTTGTGTCAGGGTGTTCATCTCTGTATCGGTAGACCTCGCCATTGCTATGACCCACTACACCATCGTTAGAACAGTGTTCGCTTTAAGTCATAAGACACGCATGCGCAGCAGCGTCTTATCCACCCCTCTTACAGCCTGACTAACTCTGCCGTGAGACGGGCAGCAGGCATGTTGACCCCCCTCCTCCCCTCTGAAACATTGCATTCAGATTAACTGGGAAATTGTTATTAGTAAATAATTCCACTGATTATTTATAAGTTTTCCATTGTTTGGGATAATATAACAGGATAAGCAAGTCAAAATTAATCGCTGACCTAATCCCCAATACGTACGCCGAAAATGATATTAAACAAAAGGAATACTGAGTATTGACACTGATATATATTTGGAAGAAGAAAATAACTTACGCCGTTATAATAATAATAATAAACATGCAAACGTTTATATGGTATTGCTTTTATCAACCTGATTATTTCCGTATCCCTGAGGCAAGTTAAAGACGCTGGCCTTGTACTGATCAAGTAAAGTGAAGTAGGCTTAGACCTAATAAGTGGTCAGCGCCTGGAAACAAAAACGTTGAGATGGAAACCGTACATACTACAAAAGAAAGAACATAAAACGTTCAGTTCAGCTTATTGTGTTATTGGTTTTAAATGTGCCATTTACACCCTCTCATAGTATATAAACCAACAGTTGTTTTTTGTTGTGTTTTACTTTCCAGTTGAAATTGCTACTGGTTCAAACATAATTTATCTTCGATTTTGTCCTACGTGTTCTTGTTAGCAAGTTTTATTGAACTGAATAACGAATTCGGCGTAGAACTGATAAAAAACTATTTTCTTTACTTAAGCATACACTCCAGAGCCGAAAGTTTCTAAAGAGTTTATTTGCGGCTTTATTTACTGTCAACATTTAGCTGATTGTATGACATCCGAGAGAGAGAAAAAAACAGACTAACGGATACTATTAATAGACAGATGGATCCTACCGACTGTTTTTAGTGTATTTGTTCTTTCCCTGTGTAAGCATGTAATTTAGGCCAAACAATGTGACTCAGCAAAAAGTAAAAATTAATATCCCTCCCCAATATAAGCAAATTACTTGCGATTTTTTTGCGAAAACCTTTGTTTTTGTACTTGAGTGTCACATTATGATCGCCATTGTGAAAGTAACGTCAGTAAACGACTTGAAAGACGTGTATTGTCGCGCTACGCTGAAATCTCTGTGTAGTCTTAAAGCCTGTTTTTTTGTGGCGCTCGTACAGCGCTGCAACATGGCGTCATCATTTCTATCCCGGCGTCCTTTGTAGGAAACTAACGTATACTGTGGAAAGAAAAATGTCTGACCTTGATTGAGAAGAAATGGAGATCACGCTGAGCAATTATTCATTAACTTATACACACTGTAATATCCTTAATTTTTAAGTAATTATCGGTGTAGCGTGATGAATAAAAGACGAATATTTAAACTCTCCCTCTGTGTGTCTCTCTCAAGATCTTGATACACATATAAACATGTATTATTATGGTACTATCTACACAAAGTTAAACGATTAAAATAAAATTCTGTGTTACAACATGTATTATTATGGAACTGTCTACACAAAGTTAAAGGATTAAAATAAAATTCTGTGTTACAACATGTATTATTATGGAACTGTCTACACAAAGTTAAACGATTAAAATAAAATTCTGTGTTACAACATGTATTATTATGGAACTGTCTACACAAAGTTAAACGATTAAAATATAATTCTGTGTTACAACACAGATGGTTTATTTGTTTGTGATTAAGCACAAAGCTACACAATGGGCTATCTGTGCTCTGCCCACCACGGGTATCGAAACCGGATTCTAGCGTTGTAAGTCCGCAGACATGCCGCTGGGGGGCGTCACAGATGGATAAAGCTGATCGGAAACTTGCAACATTTCGGGTGAATGCTCTACATCAGATGTATGACTGGACTAAAACTGTTATAGTTATGTACAAAATTCGAAACGATATAGATACAGAACGATAAAGAAAGAGGTAAATACACAATGCCGTGTAAAGTAATTTACAATCGAGTTTAAATCTGCACTAAGGGAACAATGCCAAATTTACATGGAAAATAGTTTATATTTACATTTTGTATTGTTCTGTTAAAAACGATGAGTTAAAATTGGAGATATAACAAACCGATAAGAACCAATACAATAAATCATGTAACTCAGCTGGGCGTGGTATGGGCTTTGTTATTCATTATGGGCTAGTTTGTTTTTTAAGTTATCAACTCGCTTCACGCTCGAGCTGATATTTAGAGGGATGACTTAGCTAAAGACTAAATAAAGGTCAAACTCATTCATCTTGCAACGAAACCCCCCTGGAGGCTAAGCGGTAACTATGCGGGCTTCTAACAATAAAGAGTGGGTTTCGATACCCTCTGTGGACTAAGCACGTATAGCCCATCGTGTAGCTTTGCTCTTTACAAAAAAAAATTAACAAAAATATATCTCCTCCCCTCAGCCATTATGATCGAAAACTAGCAGTTTGAACCATTGTAATCACAAAATTTTATTAAAATATTTAAAATAATATGATTTACAGAATTATAAATATTTTTCGTAAAATTAAATGTATGTGAATCAAAATATTTAATATTAGAATACGACTTTTATCGACACGGAATTTTGTTGTTGTTTTTTTCAAAACAAAAAACATCGATAGGTTTAGAGGGTCGGCGAAAAAATGTTATATTAAAAGGGGTGAATAAAGTTTGAGAACCGCTGACTTAGGCTACACTTGAATTAACAAAGCGAGTTTACTTGTAACAATTATATTTACTTCTATATTTTAACCATAAAAGCTGTTACGTTTATCAGTATTTATACTTGAAATGTTTTAAATGAAACAACAACAAATTAATGTAGATTTTATGAGTAATGTCTGACTAAATAAAGGCTGTGGAATTGTGCATAGAGTGCATAAAAGCATAAAGAGTTAGTTGATTTTCGAAATGCAAAAATATTTTTGATGATGTTTTAAATTTAAATAAAACTTTAGAAAGAAATCTTTAAGTAACACGCGGAAGAAAACGAGATCATTATGGAAATGAGGTTTACACTCCTCAGGTCTTTATGGCCCCCTCGTAGTTTTCGATCGTTTGCGATTACTCTTTTGTCGTTAATATCATTTATTGATGGAAGCGACCCGTCCATTGGTAACAAAGAAAATGTTTTCAACAAATGCGGGCAACTGGCGGCCATATTGACTCTGTTGCCGTAGCTAAGCAAAACTGTTTTTTGTTGTAACCACCGGTTACAAATGTAAGTAAACATAAATACTAACTCACTACAGACTCGAAAGGCCTCGGAAGAAACGTTAACTTATTTCTGGCGTCTTTCTTTGTTGTGCGTTGTTGTTTTTTTATTTCAATGTACGATAAATATATATATTTAAATTGTGTAGATGAGTAAAATTAGTTACATCAACTTCAAAATGTGATCATGAAAATAAGAGTTTATATACACCAAACAAACACGCTGGTGTGTATCAGTACAGGTACATTCTGTTTTTCTGTGGTACAAATTACTGTTACTAGCGCCTTATAGTAACGATGAGGCTAATCGATAGCACGAAACAACAGATAAAACAAAGCTGTCGAGAAACTAACACATGTTGTATGCATATTAACATTGGTGACGTCATACCGGCGCGTAGCAAACACTGTATATTTTACCACCTCGTGATATAATAAGTACCTTCGTGATACAATAACGCTTTGTAGTTAATCATGCTTGTGAATTCTTCAAAAAATATTATCTTACGATCAGTGAAACTTGTAATGTAATCGTATTTCCATGTTATTACAGTAATTTTTACTTCTACTCTGTATCGTAAATTACCCGTTTATTCGTCGTCGCCAAAGTTAAAGAATCTGGTTTTTGTTGTTTTTTTCATTCTTATTCGTAAATGTCTCCCATGTCGAAAACTTTCGACATTGTGAAAGGAAACTTTACCTGATTCTCAAAACCTCTTAGTTATTTATTTTTTACTGGAAACTATTTTTTGCTTTTCGCATAAATTTTCTATACTAAATCACAGATTTCGACTGACCTTATAAAGAGTAACATAAATGAGGCTTAGCAAACGATTACTGCTCCTGCTACGCGCCCGATGTTTGGTGTTACTACAAATATAGAAAGTTTACTCTAGGCAATCGAACATGGAATTTTTAGCCTAAACGGAAGCTTACGAGCACTTTAGCTAATCGGCCAAGTCAGTGACCCCCTAGTGTTCGGTGTGTCCTCCATTTTGAATTCCTAATAAACCGGAATCATTCGCCACCGCAAGAGCTCTCAACCAAACAACGGGACTGATTGTCACTCGTATAACGCGCTCACAGCTGAAAATGCGGAATGTGTTCAGGAGCATCAGATCTCGAATTCCAGACTTTTCGATACGCAGCCCGACACGCTAACCACATTTATTCCTGAAACTATCGAAATAACAGTATAGACAGTGTCACGATATTCTGTCTATAAAAAAACAAAAACAAGTAAACAATACTGTCAACATAACTTACAGCCACTCTGTTAAATAATATATTTGCACAGGAGCTTATAAAAACATTTATATAGAATGCTGTAAAGGTATTTTTATTGAAAGTATTAAATACATTGTTATAGTAGTTCGTATATAAATTCTTATGGAAGCTTGCAAAGTACATTATTATATAAACTTATAAACATATTTTTATAAATCTAAAAGCCCCCCCCCACCAGTGGCACAGCAGTATGTCTGTGGACTTACAACGATAGAAACCGGGTTTAACTACCCGTGGTGGGCAGAGCACAGATAGCCCATTGTGCAGCTTTGTGCTTAACTTCAAAACAAACAAATAAATCTAAAAAAGATGTGTGGTTTAAATCTGATGTAAAAGTTTGAGATTGCTAAAAGTAGTTATAAACTTCAATTATTTTGTAGTCGGTTTACTATATTATTGAATTCATCTTTTTTGGTTCTTGTCTTCAAATTTTCTTAGGCTTACCCCAGATTTTATGCTTAGCTGTACATATACGTGTGTTATAGTTGTCA